TGTTTCAGGCTGGCTGGGCCTGGGATTCGACCTGTGGTCACCATGTGAAACCTAACATCTCTTGAGCAGCACATTACCACCACACTGCGAAGCCAGCCCTAAGTTAGAGATTACTTCTATTTTATTACTTTTGCATTCTCTTCTGAGCTTCACACACTCTGGGAGTTCCACAGAGGCTTGTGAAAGAGCAACAGCCAAGGAGGAAGCTGCCAACCTGACAAGCAGGGCCGTGCAGCCATGACTGGCAACCAAGGCAGGTGGCCTTTGGCACAATGAGGAGTGAGTGACACTGCACGTTAGCTCTGTCTCAGCCCCTTCCTCACGTTGACGCCTCAACCCTTTCACAGGGCCCTTTTGTACCCTGTTTCTCAAAACTTTGCAATAACTACATTTCAGGGGGCAGAAAAAGGCAGAGTTTTCTCTGGGGAAAGCAGCCATCCCCACCCCCCAGGCAGCATCGCAGCAGGTCGAATGGCCTGCTCTGGGCTGGAGTCTGAGCCGTGGGTGGTAATGCCCTGATGATGACCATGAGTGACTTAAGGACAGTCCCTTCCTTCCGCCTTTCCTTCCCCGCCACCGTACCATGAGCTGGCTGAAGCAGAGCACCTGGGAGCCCTTCTGCTCTATTAAGACTGAGGTTAAAAAAAGAAAACAAAAAGCCCTTCTAGTCTCAAGTAAATTATCAAATTAATATTTGTTCTCAGTAGTGGCTGCATGGGTGATTGGGAAAGTTACTGTTGAGAAATGGCTGTTAGTTGGGGCCAGCAGGTAGCATGGTGACTTAAAGCACTGGACACTCCCACATGGCTGACCATGGTTCAAGTCCTGGACCTGGTGGCTTGCTTTCTCACTTTCCTTCTCTCTCTGTCTGTCCTTTTCTGATCAAATTAAAATAAATAAATGCGGGACAGCAGTTAGTGTAATGGCTATGTCACTGGACTCCCATGTAGTCGACTGTGGTTCAAGTCCCGGACCCGGTGGCTTAAACTCACACCAGGTGTGCCCAAGATCCCTAGAGGAGAATGGAGGAGAAGGGATCTCAGCATGGCCATCACCCCTGGGGGTGACGTCTTGCTTTCTGTCTCTCTGTCTCTCTCTGTCTCTCTGTTTCTCTCTGATAAGCGCACATGTCCTATAGAAAAAAAACCTCTCAAAAAAAAAAAAAAAAGAATTTTCCACCTGAGGAATGAAAAAGAGAACCAGTTGTCCATGGGCCCCACTTCCCATTGACTGGGTCATTCCATGGGATGTTAAGCTCTGTACCTCCAGATGAGCACGTGTGGTTGCCATGCCGACTCCTGCAGACACCCATGCTATGACATCAGAGAAATCCCAGGAAGCAGTAAACATTGCCATATGCTGGAGTTGAGGAGCTACCCATGTAAAGTAGGGAAAACCCACATGGACCAGTTTTCTATGGCCTTGACTGGAATCAGAGGTGAGCCTTAGAGAATAGGAGGTGACCTACAAGAGGTGTCTAGGATGCCACGGACCTTTGAGAAGCTTAAATTCAGCACATGGATATTGGCTACTTCTTGAATCTATTTGATTAGAAATGGCTGTATCTGAGGGCAGGCGTTCCTTCTAGAATGTGTGTCCCCACAACCAGCAATCCCTGGCAATCCCCTTGTTCAGAGTTTGAAAGTGAATCTCTTCAGAACACCTAAGAAGTCCAACTGATTTTGTCTTTGAGACAATCTGCTCTAAGTTAGTACTTCTCGCAAAGCAATTGGGCAGTGATGTCCAGCTCTTGTTGACCACTCTATGCTTTTTCTTTTTTTTAAGAATCATTTTAAAAATATTTATTTATTTATTTATTTATTTATTTATTTATTTATTTTAATTCGACCAGAGAGGGATAGAGTGGGGGGAAGGGAGAGAGAGAGAGAGAGAGAGAGCACGAGAAAGAGAAAGTGAGAAAGCAAGTCTCCAGGACTGGGACATGAACTGTGGTTGACCATGTAGGAGTCCAGCACCCTTAACCACCTTGCCACCAGCCTGTCCCAACAGCTCTATCCTTTTGCTAAAAAAGTTCCAAAGCTGTCATCTGTCTGGCTTAAACCCACTTGCTAAAGCCATAAGCAGCAATTGCAGTCCTCAGGGAGAAAACATCAAGGCTGGTTTACACGAGAGGTTCTGGGCACTTTTAAGCTATACTATTTGCTCTGCTTTGAGGGTCAAGGTTGGGGGAGGGGCAGCATTTCCAGGTTCTGCTGGAAGTCTATCAGCTACAGGAAGGATAACCTCTTGTAAAATCTTCCGGAGTGGTGGAGCCTGAATAACATAGTCTCATTGTATTGGAAGATCAAGTTTAGAAAATGTCCAGTTCTCACTCTGGTCCCGGTACTTTGGTCCCTTGGCTGGGAACAACATTTGGAGAAAGCTGGAGCACAGTAGGGCCTTAGGAAGGACACAAAGGTTCCCTGATCCTCATTTCAAAGATATGGACACTAGGAATGGCCTCTGTACTCTCAGCCTTTTGAGTAGGCCAAAAGAACTTTATGGAACTTTACAGAAAGGATCAGAAAGCCCTTTAGGCTTCTGTTGGACATTTCACAAGTAACAGTGTGAGGAGCTCTACTAGTAAAATGTCGATGATATAAATGTGGACTCAATGTATTATTTTATTGTCAATGCCCTATTAAATGAGTAGGAGATGACAACACTGAAGTTGGGGCAGACATTTTCTGATGAGGAAGCAAGAATGATAGTAAATTCTGTTTAGTTTTGCCCCAGCCTCCCCTTTGACTTTGTATATACAAATTCTCAGAGGAAAAAGTCTGCTCCCCAGTTCCTGAATAGTTTACCATCTAAGAGTAGATGCTATAGTCTCTCTGAGTCCAGAACAAAAGGGTAGCTTGTACTTGGGGACTATACACATATGGGCAGAGGGGTGGCCTTGACTAGAGGGGCCATACTCTTGGAGGCAGTGGTGGGACAAGAACTGTCATCTGGGGCTGGAGGGAGAAGATTTGTTTGCCTCTGCCATGACTTCATTCCCTATGAGTCAAGTGACCTTGAGCAATCATTCCACCTGTATGAGCCTCAGTTTCCTTATCTGTCATGGTTGGAGCATTCTCTGCCCTACTTGTCTCATTGACCTCAGTCAAATAATGGGTGTGTGCACTTTGGCTCATATAACCAAACCACTGGGTGACAGGGTGGAGCTGCCTCCAGGGTGATGAATTAAGGAAGAAATCTCTTAATCAATCTCTCCTCTCTCCCTCCCTTGCTTCTCTTTGCCTGTTGTTTTTCTTCTTTCGGGGTGGAATCACAGCTATAGTCTGCTCTGGTCTTCTAGAATCCTTACACCCTCACAACCAAGAGAAAGAGAACCCTGTCAGCTCTCAAGAGAAAAATCTCAGAATCAGTCATCATAGCTGTGGTCATGGTGGGTAACATGTGGGATGGAGTTCTTTGATTGGTCCAGTTTGGGTCAGGTACCCATGTCTTGTCCAATCTCTATGACTCCGGGCAACAGAGCACTAAGATTGGTCATCTTAGGGAACATGCTCATCCTTTGGCCAGGGAAGGAGGCGCCATAGCTGGAAGTTTCCCTCACAACCACCAGACTGTGAGCTCCTTTAGGACTCTAACTCTGTTTTTTTGTACCTTTACATATGAGACCTACTCTAAGATCTGGCATATAACAGCCATTTAACATATGCCTGTTGAGTGGCTTTAGCAGTGAAGTTTCTACTTCCTCAAAGTTACTCAAGTCATATTTATGCTTTTCACTTCATATCACATATCCCAATCAGTGAGTCACTTGTTTATTTAATTGTTTGTTAGTATCCCACATTAGAAAGGGGAACACTGTGTGGTTTGTTCACTGTTGGGTCCCCAGTGCCCAATAGACTTATTTCAAGGTCTGGTGTACAATAGGCACTTAATATGTGTCTGTTGAGTAGCATCCAAATAATTGGTCTGTCAGTATTTGTGAAATGAATGAATGCACATCAACTGTCTCTGAGGCACAGTGTCTTCATGGAAGCGGTCTGTTATTTCAAGTTGCTCATCACCTTCTTCCTCCCTCTTCCACCCTCCTTTCTACTTCCTGTTCCTCTGGGTGCAACAGTTACATATGTACACCAATCAGTCAATTCTAAGTACATTTTTGCACTTTAGGTTTATTTAATTGTTTGTTCTTTAAATTTGCTCAGAGTATTGCTCTTACCAAAGTGCTGTTATCTGCTAACATTTATATTTGTATTATCATTTAATAACAAGTACTTTCCATCTTTAATGTTGAACTTTTTAAGTGAATTTTTGATAGTAGTTAGCAATATTAAGAAGTGCTGCACCTGCAACAGAATGAATTTCCAAAAGCTTTGCTTTGATTGCCTGAATTGGATTTTTTTTTTTTGGAGAGGTTTTTGCTATAGGGCGCGTGCACTCGCCAGGCAGACAGAGAGAGACAGACAGAAAGCGAGAAATCACCCCCAGGGGGGATGGCCACGCTGCAATCCCTTCTTCTCCATTCTCCTCTCGGGATCTTGGGCATGCACGCACACGCGCCCGGTGTGAGTTTTAAGCCACCGGGTCTGGGATGCGAACCGCAGTCAACTATGTGGGGGTCCAGCGTCATAGCCATTACGCTAACTGCTGGTCCCCTGAATTGGAATTTTTAAAAAAGTGAATCATTATTGGAATTGATTGCTTTTTCTATAGATAGATTTAATTACATTAATATAAAACTGGCATTGTTTAACTGCATATGAAGTTCCTCTACTGTGTTGCTATACAATGAACAACTATCATTTTATTTATTTTTTTTCCAGTTACTTAACTTTTTTTTCATTTCTTTTTTTAAAATTTTTTCTTTTTTTTACATTAATTCACTATACATCATTATAGTATACAAAATGAATTTTCCATCAAAAATATACTGTCTATTGGTGCAATAAATCACATCAACATACATACAAATAATTTTCCATTCCTTATGTCTTGTAAATTTTGCTTTTTAACTATCATTTTATTGTAAGCTTGTGTCTAAGAGTACTTGGAATTGAGCTGCCACTGAATCAGTTGCCCCTATGTGTGTTAGATGGTGGCTTCTAGAAAGTCTTCTTATAGTCCCTGTCCATCTTGGAAGTAGATGATGCTGCTTTTTGAGCATGGGTGCTTGCTTTTCTGGTAGTCCATGACATTGCTGTGGTTCTCCTGGCAGATAGTAAATGCAAGGTAACTACTTTGTGCATGTTATGGTTTCACTGTTAATTTTCCTTAATTCCTTAAAAAGAGAAAGTCAAGATACTTAAATTTTCTTCACTCATGCACTTTCCTTTTTGTCCAAAAAGGCTTATTGCTACCAAAAAGGCTTACTAAGAAGTGAAAATTTAATAGCAAACAACAAGATAAATGGCTACAGATTTACACCATGTGGCAGGCAGTGATGTCACTGGAGTCAGGCTTCAGGGACTACTAACTGTGAGCTCTCCAGCAGGGTTCCTGCCTCCTAGTTCCTGCACAGGCTGCTTATGTTCCTAGCTTGTCTCTCCCATTTTCTTACTAGCCCTGGAGCTTGGTGGCCTGGTGGCTTCATTACCTGGCAGTGGTACAAATGGCTGAGGCACTGAGCAGCTGGCAGAAGCAGCAGCCTGAGTTCTTCTCTCAGCACCACCTCCACAAGGAGGAGTTGGCTCTTCTCAGTTGCATGTGTCTGCCTGCCTTTCAGTCTCAGGGAGGGGCCCAGGTTGTGTCCCCAAGAAAGTTCCACTGAATTAGGAAAGGTTTGGGAAGGAGAGGCAGGCCGACCTTCCAACCTTCCATGTCTTCCAGATTTAGTCTCAATGTAATGAGAACTGGCTCACTCCACACCACATGTGCTCACATGCTTAGAGTCATACACCATGAGTTGCAGTCACGGCAGAAGCCAGACGTACAAGTGGAGAGCTACCAACCTGTCTGGCTTCTTTTAAAGCAAGACTTAGACTACATTAAACAATGGCAAATGTGGGACAATGCTAAAGCAGGTCCAACACCGGAAGAATAGGAGTCATCAGGACTATTCCAACAAACCCAGTCATAAGAAACCTTAATCTTTGGGCTCTAATAGTTCTTCTGGTCTCAGGTTGTTTGGAGTCACTTTTTCAGTTTGAGGTTTCCATGCCCAGGTGACATAAGAGTTTAGGTCTTGTGTGAGTGTCGAAGCACCAGTGGGAAGTCTCCTGTCAACCCATAGGCTGTTCTCAAAAGGCTGCTCAGTGCAGCTTCCTCAGGCAGGTGGCAGGGAGGGTTGTTCCAGAGAGATCACTCATTTACTGTTCATTGAGGGAGACACACCCTATAGCCCGATGGCTTCCATGACTGATTGGTGGTGTCTATCAAGGACACACAGAGGAGGCCTGGGGACTTGGGTCTGAAAGGCCAGGCTAAAAGGCCACCCCATTGGTTATTCCTAGCTTGAGGAAGAGGCTTAACTTTTATTTTTATGTGTTCATTATTATTTTTTTTTTCTTGAATTTTTGCTATACAGCCTGTGCACTCACCAGAGACGCAGAGAGACACAGAGAAAGAAAAAGAAAGAAGAAAGAAAGAAAGAAAGAAATCATCCCCCAACACCCCAGGTAGGATAGCCATGTTGCAATCTCTTCTCCTCCATTCTCCTCTCAGGATTTTGGGTATGGACACACACAAATGCACCTGGTGTGAGTTGCCTTAACTATCTCACCATCTGCTGGTCCCTGTATTCATTATTTTTAAAAGTTTTGATTTACTGGGCCACCACGTGGCATAGTGGTTAAGGCGGTGGACTCCCACATGACTGACAGCGGTTCAAGTCCCAGACCTGGTGGCTTGAAAATCATGCAGGGTACATGTGCATGTGTGCTCAGAATCCCAGAAGGAGAACAGAGGCTAAGTGATTGCAGCATGGCCATTCCCTTTGTGGGGGAGGGGGAAGAATTTCTCACTTTCCTCTCACTGTTTCTCTTTTTCTCTCTCTTCGGTGAGCACATGCATCTTATGACAAAACCTACACAGGAAATAAAAAAGCTTTTATTTATTTATTTTGTGAGAGTGAGAGACAAAGAGAGAAAAAGAAAGATAAGCACCCTCAACATGGTCTCATGCCATGATTCTCTCCCCCAGCCCTCCCACCCAGCCAGAATCACAGTTGCACGTGCCTGGCATGTCAACTGGGAAATTGAACCAGTGATCTTCCCCATCAATCCAGCATAGCCTGAGTAGTGAGTTGCTGCTGCCTGGTGTTAGCTCCCATGGTACATGGGGCCTTCCCTTCCCTCCCCTCCCTCCCGCTTCCCTTTTTCCTCTTTCCTCCCCTTTCCTTCTCTCTCCTCCTCTTCCCTTCTTCCCCTTCCCCTCCCTCCCTAACCTCCCCTCTCTTCCTCTTCCTTCTCCTCTTCCCTCCCCTTTTCTACTCTCCTTTCCTCTCTTTTTCTTCCACAATTACTCTTTAACCTTCCATCTACTCTGTGGCTATCTCAGGCCTTGCTCCTTCCAGGTTGGGGTAGGCGGGGTCTCTGAGGGTGGAGAGGAGCCCTATAGGCTGGACACAGTCTATGGAAGCCACCTTCTTCCCTTCCCTCCCCCATAGCACCTGCTCCCTCAGTAGTGGCTTGGTTGGTCTATGAGGATGGACCTGACCAGGCTGGGGATTCACTCTTGCCTATGGGTGACTAGGGCTTCCCATGGCAGGAGACCTCCTGGGGCGGTCTCAGGTTTAGTGGGAGGGCAGTGCCAGTAGTTCACTGCACACAGCCAGGGTCTGAATACCTGAGTCAGGAATGGGTTAAGCCTCTGGGGTCCTGCGGGTGAGCACTGGAATGCTGGGTTAGGGGTGTGGGTGTGGGTGGGATGGGTGAGCTTCCCCCAATATGGAAGAAAGGCCAGGCAGGACAGCTCCCATTGTGGCTCCCTCTGCAGCCCAGGGTCTCCTGTCTTCTGGACTTCTATGAGTGAGCTGAAGATATCTGAGGATACACCTTCTGGAGGGCTCCCTGCTTCTCCCTAAACCCACCCTGGCCTCCACAGGTAGGAGACTTGGTTTAGAAATGCAAAAAGCCAGGCACATCTCAGGTGGCATGACCTAAGAAGCAGCTGGACACAGGAGAGATGGGCATGGTGGAATAACAACACAGAACTTGCATGGTGCTCTGTCCCATCATGAGCTAGGAGCATGGTGGACAGATGGCAGAAGTGGGCAGAGCAGGTTCCTGGCTGGGGAAGGGGCTGTGTGTGGTGACCACCTCACCGCCCTGATCAGGGGCCACAGTCACCTGCTATACCCACAGGACATGTGCAGCATCGAGTAGGTATTTGATCTCCTTGAACCTTGAAGCCCTTGATACCAGATGACAGACCTTGCCTCATCTCTCTCCTAGGATCCTAGAGCAAGAGGAGGACTTTATACACTAGCCCACAACCCCTCCCACTTGACATCAGAGACCTGGACCCCAGAGACATAAGCATACGGGAAAAGTCATGCAGCAGGTCAGTGGCAGATCTGAGTTCAAAGTCTCAGGTCTCTGAGCAACAGAATAGCACTTGTTCCCTGCCTCAGTCTAAACAGGAGATTCTTCCAGAAGGA